TTATTTGCAAACAACAACAACGCAATAAACTACCTATTTCCCAAAGGATGCCTTTCCATGAAAGTAGCCGTTATGTCCGCTGTCCTGATGTTTACAAACTCGTACGTTATGCCTAAAACTTCTACATTTTTCTCTCATTAATATTTTCGCCTGGGAGGGGAATGGTGTAGTGACATAAAAAATCGTTTTGGTTGAGTGAGTTATAAGACTCCCGTTAAGTGACTCGTAACAACTCTGAACGACAAACCGGCATCAAGTTTCATTTTGCTGAGTAATTATGTCCTGCTGTCTTTTACCGATTTATATAACTTTCGGTTGTTTGTGTCTTACGCAAAAGGATGGACGGATTTATCTTCTACGGGAAAAGATTTTAGAAGTCTGAAGTTTACTTTCCTGGATTCGACAGAATTTGACGGTGTTTCTCGGCCAAGGATCATCCGTACTGAACAGTGAATGAAGGCTGAGGCTCTAAGTGACGTGACGTTCTGGCCATTACCGGCGTCAAAGGGCTATCACGGCCCGTGTCCGCCATGTACTTATTGCGCATATGTGCAGTTGCAATTGCACTGTCGCCCTTGTTTCTCTCCCACCCCTTCCGCGGAATACCCGCATGCAACTGGCCACTCGGTCGTCCTGTGTCATCTATTTCTTTCGAAGAGGCATATTAAATAACCAACAACATGTCTCTTGGCTAGGCAAACGCTATGTACTATTTGCGTATCTCGTCTGGCCAGCGTTTAGCATGGGTAAGCCGCAATGGAAGCTGCGCATGCTATCTAGACTGATGATCAGTTAGTAGATAACAGTCTTTTTTAACATATGGATGTGTAAACGAAATGCATTTTAGAGAGACACTTGAAAGCAAACTTGCAACTTGACACTGTGGGCACCTACTACCGTCGTCAACTTGCTAAAATTTCATCTACGCTACGACTGCCAACTAGGCTGAACAATTTTACATGCACGAACAAGCCGCACTGCAGCTTCCCAATTACTGGCTTTAGCAAGTATGATTGACCTAACTAGCACTTTTAGCATAGGCACTACACTACTATAAGTAGTATGCAGACCTAGCAGTGCAAACACCACAGCAGCAGTAAGGTCCGTAGCAACAGTAATGAAAAAAAATTGGTCTCAGTAATTATGGAAATCCTGTCTCTACCGCCACTACGGCTGCTCAGATCTCTCTGGACTATAAGAATTCGGACGCAAGTTCCTCAGCTCTGGCAAATGCGCCAAGTACCTCCGCAAAATTCAGGAACCAATTCTCGCCTAAATCTAGCGGGTTTCACTCTCAAGTCGGAAAAATGTGCAGTTCTACGAGAAAGGGACACATTCCCTAGCGTATGTTTAGATCCGTGTCCCTGATCAAGACCGATAAGGAAAAGTTTATATAAGGCCGTG